TCCAGGCCGTCGGCATAGGAACGAAGCCAACCAACGACACAATTGACTGACTCCATCACTAGGCGCTGAATGCCATCAAGACCCAACTCCACAAGACCAGTAGCAGGCCTCCCAGCGTGGTCACTTGATTGCAACAAGGCCGCCCGATCCAACAACCCCTGGAATGCAATGGGGGACGCTTCAACGACCTCTCGTGCCAGCGGCAAAACGCCACGCAGCGTGGCCACCACGTTCTGGCACTCAAGCGAGCGAAAAGACCTTTCGGCGCCCAGAAAGACAAGCCTGTCTAAGCGCCGAAGCAACTCCAAAGGTTGCAGGCCAGCACGCAGCGCGTCGTCCGTCGCCTGGGCCAGTCGTCGAGCACGTCGAGCGCCAGGAGGTGCAGCAGGTCTCGCAGCTGCAGGCGCTCCCCCAGCTTGGCGCCAGCAGTAGGCCACCTTATCAGCACGGCCGCAGTAGCGAGGAGCGTCACATACAGGGATGCTATAACGCACAAGCAACTCCTCCTCCACGACGTTCACGAACTCAGCGTACAAGCGGCCCAGCCTCGCCTGAGCCTGAGCAGGACTCGCCGCTCCTCCCAGTGCCACATCATCCTCGATGATGTCGCGGGTACCAGCCGCCAGCACGGGCGTGACGTCCTCAGTCGGGGCTGCCTTCGGGAAAGCCTTCGGCGCCCGCAGGACGAGGAACTTGACTGCCTTAGCCCGTGCGTCGAGGGACGTCAGCATAGGGAAGTGTGGCGATGCAGGCCATCCCTCCACAGGGTGGGGCGGCGCCAGCGGCCCCGCGATAGACAAGCTGGCCAGCCAGTAGTCGATGGTCGAGTAGGCTCCCTGAGCACTGCGGCACGTGCCCACAGGATGGCGCCCTGCAGGAGCGGGAGGCCTCGCGACCACTGCTGCAGGAATGAAGTCCAGGAAGCCATACTCCAAGAGGTGCTTCGGATCACAATTGAAATCACCCGCCGCAAGAAACGGCCTATTCCAACCCCGCAGCGCCGTAGCAATGTCGTACAGCCGCATCACATTCACGTCATTCCACCGTCCCACCTCAAAGTAGCACGACAACAGCACGAGCCCACCTTTGATGCCAAAATCCGCATGACATGCAACACAAAAGCTCGGAATCAGGTCAAAACCTCGCAAGCCTGGTAGCACCGTCACGCTGATGTGACGTCGAATGAAAAGACCAACTCCAGCAGACGGGCGCCCCGACTCCAGACGTCTGCAAGATGGGATAATAGCATGCCACCCAGCACGAGCAGCCCAGCCTTCAGCGCGCCGACGATCGTCACCATCGATGCGCAGTTCCTGGGCCGCCACCACCTGGATGCCAAGGTCGCAGTGTGTCAGAAACTCCCTGCACGAAGCCCAGGACGAGCCGTTGTAGGTGACGAAAGCGGCCTTCACGCGGGCGCTGCCACGACGCCCACGATGTCTAGCCTTCCATGTCGGTCTCACCTGCGGCTTCCCAGGCTGCAGCGGCGGTTCCCCCGCCAGCGCGAAACGCGTAGGCAGCACCAGGAGGCAGTGCCGCAGCAGGGGGGGCCACGGCCGATGGCGGGGAGTCTGCTGGGCCTCCTGCTCCAGTGGCGGCGGGGGCAGCCGCAGCTCCTGAAGCCATGAGGGCTGAGGCGGCGGGGAACGCTGTGCCAAGCGCTGCAACCTGCTGCCCGATCGCCTCCAAGACTGTGATGCCCTGCCCACTGGCCCTGACTGGCGACGCGCGCGGGGGCACTGGCGAGCGTGGCCTGGAGGCCGACCAGCGTGGAGGCGAGGGCTGCCAAGTCCACGCCGCTGGAGCTCGCCGCCGAGGCCGCCACGGCGCGCTGAGCAGCCTGGACCTCCGACCTCCAGGTTCTTGACCTCCACGTCGGCCACGCCCTGCTGCCTGCGGAGGTCGTCGACCCTCGCGTTGGCCTCCACGAGGTCGTCCGCCAGCTGGGAGGCTCTAGCGCGTGCCTCCTCCACCGCTTCTGGAGGGAGACCAGGAGAGCTGCCTCAGGGGGCTGAGCGCGACGCTCCTCAGCCTCCAGGGTGGCGAGCACCTGTCGCGCAGCCTGGATGAGCGGGTGCTCGTCGGCGTAGCCAAGCTTCTGGAGCGCCGCCAATCCCTGCCTGGCGCGCACGACTGCAGGCCCAGCAGGTTCTCCTTGGGCTGCCCCACCAGGAGGACCAGCACGACCGCGAGGAGGAGGGCCAGAGCGGCGGCGACGGCTCGCGGATGCCGACCTCCCGCCCTGCTCCGATGAGGCGGGCGACTCGCGGACCAGGCGGCCGAGGCGGTCCCTGCCGCACTTCCAGCACGTGTCGCGGCTGGGGAAGTTGCTGCGGAACCCGCAAAGCCTCGACGCAGCGCAAGGCCAGTTGGGCTGCTGGGGCGGGGCCGCAGCCTGCCTGGGCTGCTGCTGGGCCATGCCACGGGCGCTCCCACGGTCGCCGTGATGCCCAGCACGCCTGGCGGGGGCCGCGGCGAAGCGCAGCCCGACCCTTGCACAAGACCACAGGCGGCTATACGTCAGCGCCACCTGGAGAGCACGATGTGCAGGCGCCCGCACGCTGCGGGCCGCCGGCGCGGGGGCTATGGCGCGGGCCCCGCGGCGCCCGCCCGCAGGCAAATGGCTGCGGGGGGGCGCGGGGCGGGGGCCACGGTGCCAAGCCACCTTGAGCCAAAATGGCTACGGAGGAGGAGGAGGAGGAGGAGGAGGAGGAGGAGGAGGAGGAGGAGTGTGTGTGTGTGAAGCTCTGCAGAGAGGTGCCAGCATCTAGCAACAGTTCGCAGCTCTGGCCTTCGCTGGACTCCTCTCTAGAGTGCGCCGCGGCTCGAAACAAGGCCGCGCGTGGCCTCGAAGGCACCCAAGCTCCCACCCACCCCCTTCAACGGCTGGGCTGCCACGTTTTAAAGACAGGCAGGCCGAAGGGGCGGGGCTGTAAACGGGAAAGAGAAACAAGTTAAAGACACCTAAGACACCTCCCAGGCCCCAAGGACGTCCGAGCGGGCAGGCTCGCTGGAGCCGCGAGGAAAACCAGGACGCCAGAGCAACAAACCTGGGCGCAGAGGCCCCGCACCCCACAAAACGGGACGCCAAAAAGTTTCGCGGGGGACTCAGCGCTGAAGGCCCAGGAGGTTCAGGATCGTCGAAAGAGGGAGGGGAGTCTCAGGCGAAGGGGTGGGGTTATTCTGACCTACTCTTGACTCTCTGGGCTCACTGGGGCTCACTAGGGGCTCAGGTCTCCTCTGAGTCGGGGGCGCGGAAGGTGACGGAGTCGTAGCCTGGATCGGGGAAGGAGGTACTCTCTGGGATCCCCGAGGTCGCAAACTCGCAGAAGTCCTCTGGATCCTTTGAGCCCACGTCGGCCTCGAGGGGGTGGTAGCGCCCCTGTCCGTCATGGCTACAATCACATCCCGTCGAGGTGCAGCTGTAACAGGCGGGCGTTGTGACTCCTCGGCGGTGTGCCATGCTTGTGCACCCCCCCCCAACTGCACCATAGAGCTGACCACTGTATTCTCGAGCGTCGGAGGGTCCACTGCGATCCAGATCTTCGTCATTTCTCCAGTGTGAGTGCTTTGCATACGACAGTGGCGTATGTCGTCCGCGAGGATGCTGTTGGTCGGGCGCTCCTGCCTGACCTTCTGCTGATACTGCGTGAGTGCCGCCAGGTTCTGCTGCCCGATCTTTTCGCCCTGCGCGACGGTGGCGCCCACCAGCGCCATCCACACGTGCGGGTGGGGGATGCCCAGGGCTACGAGCTCGTCGACCGTCTGGCCCGACTCCAGCTGCTCGCGTTTCTCTTTCCTGATCCTGGCGGCCTCCGTGCCGTAGTACTTCGCGGTCAGCTGCATCGATTGGACCACGTCGTGCTTGGTGGGCATCTGCGCGTGTCGGTAGCTGGCGGCCTCGAGCTGGTTCAAGCCCTGCTCGTGTCTGAGAGACATCCGCATCAGGACGGGCACGACGGCCTGAACCCACTCGATCGGCATGCGCTGCAAGCTGGCGACATCCTGACGGGCCAACCCGAAGTGTGTGTCGGTGGCGTCCCAGACCATGGGGGCTGGCCCAGCCGCGGCTGCTGCGGCGGCTGCTGGTGCCTGTGTTGGCTCCGCCCCTTGGCCTCCTCCTCTGCGTGAGCGACGGGGCGCTCCTCGCTCGTTGCTGCGGGTGCGATCGCCCTCTCCGCGCTGGCGTCCTCTGAGCTCTCGCTGTCGTTCTTCGGTCCCAATGCTCAGCGCACGCTCCGCGAGGTTCGACATCGAAGTGGATCTCAGGAGCGGGGGGAGCGTGGACCTCTCTGATGTGGCGCTGGAGGGCCTCCAAACTCGGGAACTCGCCTTGAGCCCTGGCGGCGTCGGTACGGAGGAGCCTCGTACGATGGACTGGATGCACGACTTCGGGATCTAAGCAGACTGGGCAGAACAAAACCTCGGGGACTCTCAGGGCGGGCGAGTAGGGGCTGTAGTCGGCGATGCACCGTTTCATTTTCAGCGACTGCACAATGTGTCGCTTCGCAAGGACGTCCGAGGAGAAGGTCGAGGAGCAGTAGAAACACTGGCTAGTGACGACCAACTGATGGATAGGCACACGGCACCTATGAGCAGGATGATGACATTGATGGGTCTTGAGAGCCGCCTTGGAGACAAACACACAATTGCAGGGTTCCCCGTTTTCAAGAGGTAGTTCACACCCATATTCTCGATGTGGTTCGGGAACTGGCGGGGCCTCTGGGGCCGAGAGGCCTGCGGAGGCACCAGAGGTCGAGAGGGGGCCTGGTCCCAATGCACCTTGCGGAGCCCAGCGGGGCCCAGACTAGCGAAGAAAGCCGCAACCCTATATTGGGCAAATATGTCCCTGTTCGAGTGACCCTGGCCCAAGAAGAGCTTGCCCTTGGGAGGGGGGGGGGGGGGGGGGGGGGGCTGAGGGTGAGGATGTCTTTCTGCATTTGGAGGGCCCACGGGTTCGCGCTTTTGTCTATCCATCCCGACTCGGTGAATACAGGCGCCTCCTGCAACGCCTCAAAGTTCCCAAGCAGCGCGGCGACCGCTTGCACAGAAGACTCGGGGTACTTGGCGAGTTGTTGCCAGTGCCTCAGCCTGCGTGCGGGGAGCTCGGTGCAAGCGCCGGCGATGCGCAGGCGCTTGTGGACCTGCCAGGCGTGTGGAACTCGAATCTGCTCTACCCCCTCGACATCTGCACGTCTAGCAACTCCCCGAAGAGCGACCTTCGCGAAACCCAAGAGAACGGCATCCAACTTGGCGTAGTCCCGTTTGGCCAGAAGGTAGGTCTCCAGGCCCGCGTAGGCCGCGCTCTGCAGAACACCCAAGAAGGCCATCATTTTTAGCCTGAGCGAGACGTGTTGCTTCCAGAAACGACCCAGTTTGCACCAAGCCGACCTTGTCGCATCAATCCTGACTCGAACCTCCGCCCCCGCGCCGCCAGTGAGCTGCTCCAGACCTCCGAGGTAGGCCGCCTGGGCCTTGGGCTGCCCAGGGAAAGAAACGAGCCCCGAAAGGACGGCACGGGTGGCCGTGTACCCTCCAGGGCCCACGAATACATGCAGAATGAGCTCCTTGGATGCATTCTGTGTGAAGCCGCCTTGGGCTCTGAGCTTGGCCGCCAAAAGGTCGGAGGGCTGCTTGGCCACCTCCGCGGCGCGAAAAGGATTGTTATCTGGCACTGGTAGCGCCTGCGAAACATCATCTGCATAATCACGTAAAGGCAAATCCACTAGCTGCCCCGAGCACGGGCAGGAAATGGGGGTAGCGGCCTCCATCAGCGGGACTGTGGAGCCGTCCTGGAGGTGAAAGGAGTCCGCGCTGGTGATGAGGAGCTCACGGTTCCAATCCTCCAAAGGTCGGACAAATGATCGGACAGAGTTCACAGGCGTTGCCATCGCCCATGCCTGCGCCATGCCTGGTCACATAGAAGCCTCGAGCGTCGCCCGCTCGCACCTCCATGACCGCCTCGGTGTGGCGCTGCTTGGGGAACAGCTGGTCCTGCATGTCTGGAATGATCTGGCCCACCACCTCTTCCGAGACGTCGTGGGACGCGGAGGGGAAGGCGTTGGTCATGTCCTTCTTGAGCTGGAGGTGGTTGACTCGAAGACGGCGCAGCCTCCAAGTATGAAGCTTAGAGACCAGCTGTGCGCCCTGCCTCGATCGATGACGGGCGCGCCCATGCGAGTGATGAGGAAGCGGCGGACGGCGGTGCCTGATGAAAATCCCACGGTACCAGGCCTTGCCGAAAGGGCAGTAGCAGTGGATCAGACGCATCGCCCGCGCCCCCACCTTATCAATGCCTTTGGGAAATTGAAAAGTCCGCGACCAGTGCCACCAGGGCGGCGCGCGGCAGGCGGTGCGGATCTGGCGAAAGAGAGCCCCCAGGCGCTCCGCCAGGCGCGGGCAGTGCACGTGCGGTACTCGTCTTGGTCGGTCTGGTCGATCTCTGACATCGGGGACACCTGTCGGGCCCCCTCGCGCCTCGATGCTGGCCGCCCTGAGGATGGCGTACCAGAGCTCGGTGGGCGCGGAATGGGGCGGGGCGTAGCGCCTGCGGGCCGCATGTCGAAGGCACCTCAGCATGTCGGTCCAGTCGTCGTGGGCAGTCGCTGCGGGATGTCCACGTAGGTCCTTCCACGTGCCGTCTGGGTCGTTCTGCTCTCGCAGCGCCAGGGCGATCTCCGCTGGAAATTCAGGCTCAAGAACCTGCACTGCCGAGAAGCCCCCTTTCCGCCGCCCCCCGCCAGTAGCGTCGTCGTCCACTCGTCCAGAGGGGAGGTAGTGCGGTATCGCATTGAAACGTCGGTTCCTCACGCCGTGGGATCTGCCGCCAATCTGGTACGCAAGCTTCCAGACTGTCGTAGTGTGCCCACGCTCCGCTGCTGCGGTGGCGCCCCAAAGTAACTGCTCGACGTGATGGGTGTCTAGTCTGCGCTTGATGCGCTTGGTCTCACGGTCGCAGGCTCTGATGGCGAGCCTGTCGGTCTCCGTCCTGCACTGCCTGCTGAGATCGCGTCGGCGTTCGAGAAGCACCTGTCGTTGTTGGACGTACTCGGTGGTCGGGCCAGGTAGTGCACCACGCTGGAAAAGGGGCAAGGCGGCCTCCCGAACGTCAGAGACTAGAGACTGCCACGCCTCGGAGGGGTCGTCCTGTCTAGAAGTGCCGCGCCACGCGGCCGCTGTGTTCTCGCAGAGGCGTTCCAGTTCCCCGATGAGGTCGCGGTCCCCCCTCGGTGCGGCCAGGCCCGCCAGTCTGTCGTAGTCCTAGGTCGGGTCGCCGTCGTGGTCGTCCTGGTAGTGGAGGCGGTACTTCAGGCGCCAGAGCATGGGGGCGTGATCCTTCGGGTCGGCGTGCGGGATGAGCTGGAGGTCGCGCGTAGCCCCCATGAGTGAGCAGCAGGAGAGTGTCGCATCTATGGTATCCCGTGGGGCGAAGAAGTGGTCGGGGTGGGATCGATGGCCAGCCTCTTGCCCAAAATAGGTTGGCCCTGTTGGAAAGTGTGAGTCGACCACTGTCAACCCTTCCATCTGAAGTAGGCGCCACCATTCCGCTGATGTGAAATTCTCGGCCGCCGTGTTGTGTGATCCCACATGGGTACCGTCGGCCGTGTACTGGTATGATCCATTGCCATTGGAGGTCTTGCCGAATTCGCAGTTGGCGTCCGTCCCGACGATCACTTGACAGCGACGCGGGAGCTGCTGGATTGTGGCACGTAGCCACTCCGTGAGACGAGTCACTGTAGTCTTCCAGTGGTCGATATGGTGTCGTTGTTGCGGTTGATAGTATAGAACAAAGGCGGCAATGTCGAAAGTAGAAGAACGCAATCTGACACCTCCTGCCCTTCCAGCGAGGGCGGTCGGGGGTTCATAGATCCGATGAATGTGTGAACGTCTGAAGGCACGGCATCGTAGCATGAGAGAACATCCTGCACTTTTGTTCGTCAGGCGGCCCTTCTGCCACCCGTACTCGATTCTCCCAGTGCTTGCCGCACTTGCGGATGGTCGCGCCATCTCCTGGTCGCCGCCTCTTTTGTGTACCTGGAAGCATCACGATGTCAGCGAAACTGAGGCGCGAGGAGATGGCAAACGCCCGCCATGAGTCGGTCATGGAAAGAGGGTTGTACAACACTGTCTGGAGAAGAGAGGCCCACATCGGTGGGTGGGAGCAGCACGCAGGCGAGAGTGTGTCCTGCGGGGGACGAGAAACAGGAGGCCGCTGCAAGCCTGTCCTGGGCCAGGGCCTTAGGAGGAGGAGGAGGAGGAGGAGGAGGAGGAGGAGGAGGCGGGATCGGAACCGAACCGCGCGGCGCGAAGAACTCCGTTGCCTGGAGGGTTGGAAGTTGGGCGAGGACTGGAACATCCGTGGCTGCCAAAACGGTCTTTCCAGCAGGGAAACGCAGATTCCCGGAAGAAGCTACAGCGCACTGAATAGTAAACGGGCTGCCTCCCGGAAGAAAAACAAATTTCCCGGAGCTCCGTTTTAGCAGCCACGGATTTGCCAGCCTTCGCTAAGCTTCTGAGAGGGCGCCCTTGCTTACGGCAGGCTGCTTTCCGAGAGGAGAGGGGCGGCGGCTGCAGCACGAGGCGCAGGGACGCGGGGGGGAGGGCGCCCATTCCTCCTCCTGCGAGAGGGGTCGAAAAACGGAGGACCGGCTCAGGGGCGGAAACGCCGACCTGGAATCGGCGACACATCGCCGACAGATCGGCGATGATAGAAGTCAAAAAATCCACCCCCATACTAACCACCCCGACACGCGAAGCCGTTCAGTAAACGCACCCACAGAAGGAATCGAACAGGGCAAGGCTGTTTGGTAAACGCACAGGGCCGTTTAGTAAACACCGATTGTCAGGTCCGGGTGGTTTTATCCTCCCTTGAGATGGGCCCCCCGGTACCAAAAACGTAAGCCCCTGGGCGGGGTGGGCCATCAGGCCGCTACAGGCCATCGATGGACGATGGGGGGCTGATGCAGTCGCACTTCCCCCCCCCCGGATCTCGCAAGCCCCGACATGGGGAACGGGCTGTCAGGCCCACAGAACTGCTCCCTGGTGCTGTGTTTTTTTCCAAAATGTCGCGCGCTGGCAGGGCGACGACAGAGAGCCCGCCACCGATACATCCCAGAGGACGAGAGACGCCTACTGGTCTCGGCGCGCCACCTGCGACGTGCCGTACTGCGACTGCATGGCAGAGGACGATCATACTGGAACCGCTTGGCAACGCATCGGCAGTTCAGATTGTAGCGGGACGCGCTGTGACTCGTCCCGCAGGAAGCCCAACGCACCGCCTGCTGGCCAGCGCCAGCTCGCGCGACACAGACGCGCGAACCCAATCGAGAGACGCAGACACCTGCAAGGGGCGGCCCAAGGAGCTGCCCTTCATCATGCGTAGAGTCAGGCTCGCAAGCGAACGCACGCGCGGCAGCGCGGCAGCAGCAGGGCGAACATATTGGACTACACGGGGAGACGCTAGGCAGGATCGACGAAGGCAACATTCATGATGCGACCACGGCCGTGGCCATCGTCGCAAGCGGCCCAAAGATGACTGCCTCCAACCGCTGTCGACGTTGCTCCAGGATCCGTGCGGATTGCAGGACGAGAGGGGATGAAACCCGCCGACGTTGATTCATGCCCGTTTTGCGGCTCGCCTCGCAGCGCAACGATTGGTGCCCACTACGGTGCCCGCTAAGATGCCCGCAGTGGGACCACTTAAGGTGCCCACGATGAATTTTTCCAACGAGTATCACGCGGGATCTGCGCCGTGGAGCCTGCTTCGGCGACCCCCTGGAGCGCTTGTCTTGACAGGGTGGGGGTCTCAATTGGCGCCATCATTGTCACACGGGAGCGATCAGAGGGCACCATGGAGGTCGCGCGGGGACGAGTGCTGGTCACACCAAAAAAAGAAAAGGACAAATCATAGGCACGAGTTGTTGTTCAGACCCCGCAGTGGGGGGGCCAACGCGGCGACGATGATGACGAGGATCGAAGACAGCTGGCGAACGGGAAAGCGGAGCAGTAGCAGCTGTGCTGATGAGGGAGGAAGGGCAGGAGGAAAGGAGGACAGAGGAGAAAAATTACTGAAAGTCTAATTCATGAACCAAAGCGTGCGTGTTTCGTCGCCTACTAGCGCACGTAATCGACAACGCACGCCGACAGTTCATCCTGTGATGGCGGGTGCCACCACCGCCATGTACCAACTGTTCTTCGCCTGCACGTGAAACGAAACACAACGGGTACCGATCGTTGCCCTCCATCATTACCCTAACGTCCTCCTACCTCCTCCTTCTCCTCTCCATCCTCCCGCATGTGCAATTGTCCACCCGCTTCCTCGTCGAAACCTTTGCGTGCTGAACAAATGAATTGGCTCAACTGGCACGGCAGCGTGTAGGCAATTGTAATATGCTGCGATCACTCGGCATACGTTGCACGTTCGATTTCCACGTGCTCACTAGTGGGAGTGCCTCTTAGTGGCTTCGTCATGGCTGTGTCTATGACTGATCCTGCCCCCCTCCAAGGTTGCCACAGCGTGATCCTTATCGACCTGCTCGGGCCGTAGCTCGGACGATGCGGGCATGCCAGGCGCCAGGACGCCTCTCGGCGAGGCGCAGCTGCTGAAACGCATCACGAGGCAGAAGATCCTGCAGGAACCGGCGAAAACGTCCGATCCACTCCTTCAGTCGGTGGGAGACAGGGGGGTGGGTGAAGTCCCCCCCCTTAGCCAACGCCCGCCCCTGACGTTGCCCCGCATCCCGCCCCTCCTCCACGGGGTTCGACTGCATTATCAGATCAGTGGGCAGGTTCGGTAGATATGGCATCCACGAAACACCAATACTCTGACTCCGGTCCGCCCGACTGGTGTCTTCAACATTCCGGAACTGGACAAGTCCCCGACACCGCTTTCCAAGCTCGTGTGCGCACTTGCCCGTCCCAGCAAAAAGACGCCTGCAAAGTCCTCAGGCTGGCGCCTCGCCCCCTCACCCACGCCCCCGTCCTTTACGTCGACGTTCACGTCCAGCGACGTGGCTTGCGCAGGCACGAGCAACTGCCCACCAACGCTTGCCGCGGCGAGAGCGAAGGGGCCGGAACGGACAGGGAGAGCGAACGAACGCACACCAGTGGCAGCAAGAGCGTCTTTGTCCACGCAGACTGGGATCGAGGCATACCGCAAGTTCACTGCCGATTCAGTTCTCAAAGGTGCCACGGCCCCGGGAGAAGCGGGACCTGACCTGCTGGCGACGAACAGAAGAGCCAAAGGGGGGCACACGATTAGCAATGAGGCACGAGTGCTCGATCAGTCAGACGCAGAGCGATCAGGCGTTCTGGGACATCCATGTGGATTGTCCGAAAAAGAGAGAGAAAGAGAGAGAGAGAGAGAGAAAGAGAGAGAGAGAGAGAGAGAAAAAAAAAAAAGAAGAGAAAGAGAGAGAGAGAGAGAGAGAGAGAAAGAGAGAGAGAAAGAGAGAGAGAGAGAAACAAAGAGAGAGAGAGAGGCTCCACGAAGGGGTGTGGAACGGGAGTGTGTTCCGCAAGGATCGAATTCCGCCAGCCCTCTGGGCGGATGTGGCTTAGCGATTTGTTCTTCCAGCCCTCGTCTCATCTTCGGGGAGGGGTGTGCCCTAGCCCTCCTACCTCCCCTGATTCTAGAGGGGGGGGGTGCGGGCCGTGGAGCGTCCAAGATGGCCCAAGAAAGCTCCAAGAGGGCCTCACAAAGCTCACGATTACCTCCCAAAGTGCTCAAGAGAGCGCAAACTGGCTCAAGATGGCAACCTGCTCCAAAAGGCCCCACGACCGCCCCGCGAGGGCCCCAAGTAGCCACGGAGCCTCCACATGTGTCCCCAGGATGCTAAGAATCCTTCAGCAACCATCGGGAAATCAATTCGGTGTGCCTCCTCGCCTTGCCGCGTTCGATTGTCTCCCGAGGCTTCTGGGTGGCTAGGTGGTTCCAGTGAGGGCCCCAAGGAGAGGCACAAGCAGGCCCCAACACAACTCCAAGTGCGCCCCAAGAAAGGTCAAGGACGCGAGTGCAAGGGCCCCCCAGAGGGGCGACGCTAATGAAGGACCCGCCCTTCCGTGCTCGAGCTGAGCTCTCCCAGGGTGGCCCCGAAATGGCCCCCAAGGCTCCCAAAAGTGCCAAAAGGAGCGCCCAGGAGGCGCCAAGAGGCGGCTGGCTCGCCACGGCGGCGTGGGCCCCCGAGGGCCACGCGGCGAGCCCGCCACTCGCCCCCCCACGCGAAAGGGCAGAGGTGAGGCCGGGTAGGGAGCACGGGGGGGGCCCTTCTGGGGGCGGGGGGGGGCCCCGCCACGAGGAGGGCCCCCCTGGCAAGAGAGGGGGGAATAGTGGCGGATGCAGGATGATGGTGATGATGGTGCTGATGTTGATGCTGATGCTTATG